TCTTCAGGAATATACGCTTTCTCCACCCGTTCGAATGGAAACGTGTTCTCGTCCTGACAGTCACGCCATTCATCAGCTTCTTCTTTGTAACCTCTATAGTGAATTTTAACTCTTTTCTTCTGTCTGTCGATCGCGACTATTTCGATTTCATAAAGCTTATTATCCCCAGCTGATTTCCTCCTCTTCTTTTTCTTATATTCAACCGCCAAATATTCGTTTAAAAGCCGTTTTGGAGGCTGCGACGTGCGTTTCGTTTTTTCCGCCATTTTAAATCACAGGAGCTCGCCCATGCGCTAAGGGTAATTTTACGAAATCCTTCAAGTAAGATTACTCAAAATCAAATGTTCCACTCACAGGGGAAAGAGTTTGATATTTTAAAGGCAATTGGGAGCATAATAATAAATAAATAAATAAATAAAAGAATAAATCAGTTAAATAATTGATTAATTGATTAATACATCAATTTAAATGCGCGAAACAAAACGACAACTCCCTAATAACCCTTGGTCGAAGTCCATTTGTTTCTCCTTAATGTTTGCTGATTTGTTTCCCGACTATTATCCAAAACAATGTAACTTTCCTTAGAAAACCAAATGTCGTCTCTATTGCACTTCAACTGTTTAAGTGCATAGACTCCAGTTTCTCTAGGATTTTTATTGAACTTTCCACGCACACTTGCGCATGTTCGTATGCATCATGATCTGCAGCAGTAGTTTAGGAACTAGTGTGACCTGTGGAGACACCGAAAGGAAACAGGGTTTCAGTTTACTTGTGTTACGTAAGTCTTGAATATTTCGAGATAGCATTGACTCTTAAATGATTGAAAGAGGCTTGTAAACCCGTCTATAAAGATTTTGTTTCTTAAATATGTTGTAAAATATTCTATTTCTGGCGATTTCATAAAAACTTGAGGTTCATCAACACTGCAGATGAAACCTTTGAATAAATTAGTTCACGTCGCTCACTATCTTAAAATTACAGTTTACATATTCTAATTTAAAATGAATGCTCTTTTAGTAATATTAATTGTTAATCTCATTATTGGATAATGGGATTTATTAAAAACTGGATCATTGCATAATGCAATTTAAGACTTTTTATTGGCTTAGCCATTATGGTATATGAGCCAAAATACCATAATCTAATATCTGTACATTGCAACATCCGGATTCTTCTAACAAAATAAAGTCGAGAAGATTTGTCTAATATCTTGGGGGCACTTTTTTTCATAAAACAATTATTCCAGTCGCGCTTGTTGGATATGAGATGATTATAGCCAACTCGGCGCTACGCGCCTCGTTGGCTATCTATCATCTCATATCCAACGCGCGCTCGTGGAATAATTGTTAAATATTTTGGATTAACATTAATATTTTTATATCTATCCTCCAAGTCATTTCTTTTTTTTCCTCCCTCTCTCTCATTACTAAGTGATAAACAAAACAATATGTCGCCTAGAGTGAAAAGTAATCTTTCGGTGGCAGCATTTTTGTAGAAGGGTGAGATATTTCTCCCCTAAATGCTGTTTTATGGTATTATCAAGTATGATAAAGCTTCAAAGTGCTTAATTCAGGCGTCAACCATAGGGTTTTAGACATAAATTTGGTAAATAATTGACTCCGCTTTTTTGCATTGTTGGTTGGAATTTTCAAAAATGCTCATATTGTGTTGACCTGCTGTACAAGAAGTTCGCCGAAACCACAACATATTTTTATATTCCCATACTCCTCGATCTATTTTGGTTAGTCTGAATAAAAATATCGTAGGAAAGAAGTTGGAAATTTGCGCTAAGCCGAGATTAACTGAATAAATTGCATATTTGCGGTCATACGGCGGCAAAAGCCAAGTGGGTTTCGAAATAAAAAATAGTTTTCAGAGTGAAAAACAGTTAAAAAAAGAAAATCGATCTGATGTGATTTGTTCTCACAAAGGATCGATCTATGTATGCGAAGTAAAATAATTCCTCTAGCAAGGTTAATGTGAAAAGACGTTGCGTAATTCAATTTGTGCCATTTTTGATAATCAGCGCTCTTAAAAACGGGCTTTCAAGCGCTGAGGCGATTTCCGCTCGGAAAAAAATCTGAATTTACCATATTCAAAGAGACAAATATGGTTTCGATTACTTTTAAACTAAGACAGATCCATGGGCAAAGTCTGAAAGAAATCGATATTTTGATCCGAAATGCATCGGACCGCTTTTAGAGAGACCGCCTCTTAATATTCTAGGACATTGCATGACTTATAATGATCCTGGGGCTTTGAAAGTGTCAGTCCAGCTTAAAAAGAGCTCTAGAATCACGATACCGTTATCGAGCGGTCGTGAACGGGCAAACACGGGGAAACTTAAGCAAGCGAAATAATATATTGTGTGGGCACGTCGGGAGATTACTAGATTGCATCGATGACAATATTCCGCTTATACAGACTTTTACTTTTGTACCAAAGCCATAGACTATTGCGCAAAGGATAAAATCAAATCAAATTGCAAAGGCATGAGACCAATTTTCATCCAAAGAGACTAGCATATATGCATATATACAACCTAAATTTCCGCGGATAAAACCTCTGATATAAATCTTAAAACGTTTCGGTATAACCGACTGTGCAAGTAAAAGATATTCAAAACTATATGGGGGCTTAATCTATCACGAACATGTGAAAGAGAGAAATACTTGTTGCACGGAAGAACTGTTTGGATGAGGGAGTTGGAAAAGAGATGATTTCAGAAAACCCTCCTTTTTAAAACTTCTGGAAAACTTTCCTTCATAAGTAAGAGTCTTCCGTGACACTTTTGCCCGCTGTATCAGTTCACACATTGATATTATCAAAAGTCACGTAACTAATAATCACACGATTTCTTTTTTCTTCTTTTATTTCTTCTTTTTTTATTCCTTTTTCGTATCCACGCAATTTTTGACAATAATATTTTTCTTTCGCTTATTTTTTATTGAGTTTTCTGGTAAATTTGATTTGAAACATTCCAGGAGTCGCTTGATGCTAGCAAACAAACGGAATCCTCTTTGAAAAAATAAAACCACAACAACAAAATCGATATTGATGGATCCTACGTGTTCTGTGACACCTTTGCGTACTGTATCAGTTCAGATATGCATCTGAAATCCCGACGAAGAAACTGAGGCTTAATTAAATTGGTACTATGGTCATGCCGATGAAATGGTATATCTTAATGCTTTTGAGCTCGCAAATCGTATCAACTGAGCCATGACGTTTCAATAATCAGTAATATAACAATGAAATCGACCCACATGAAAAAAAATTCTCGTGTATGAAATTGAAGCCAAAATAGTACGCAAAATATATCATTTGCAGGTTAAAACGTGCGTTTACGTGTTCCCCGTTTTATTAATTGACCTAGTAATTATTACTTTTTCGATAAAAATGATTCCATCGCTACAATATAGGTTGACTAACCTGATCACACAGCAATCCATTCCAAGCAATTAGCTGAGAAAATCTTATGGTAATATATGGTGTAAAGGCTTAATTAAATGCCGTGATTTTAATGAGCAAAGGAGAATTCGAAGGCAAGATGGAATTGATATTTTTCAAATTGTTTATAACAACTGTGAGGGATTCATAGAGATTAGTTAGAGTTTTAGTGACAGATAGTCGAAAGTAAATTATCTACAAATTGAATTTGTTGAATGCTGCAGATTCAGAAATAGGTAAATAAGTAAATGAATAAACAAATGAATGAAAAAACGTTCAAGATTCCTTCTTTCGCCAAAGCTGTATCAAATCTTATCTTTAATTATATCATCTTAAGAAACTGTTTGACTTTTTATTCCACATGGTATCAACCTACACACTAACGTATTCATTTGAAACTGATATTGAGCCCATATCCAAAAGTTGGCAAGACTTTCACGGTATGATTGCGCTGAATGCTATTTCAAAACGAAATGTTAAAAATCTCATTGATTAACTGGTTACTGATATTGCGAAATATCGTTCAGCACAATCACACCGTGAAAGTCTTGCCAACTTTTGGATATGGGCTCAATATCACTTTCAAATGAATACGTTAGTGTGTAGGTTGATACCATATGGAAAAAAAATCAAACAGTTTCTTACGATGATATAATTAAAGATTAGATTTGATACAGCTTTGGCGAAAGAAGGAAACTTGAAGGTTTTTTCATTCATTTTTTTATTAATTTTTTTATTTACCTATTTCTGAATCTGCATCATTCAACAAATTCAATTCTATCATTTGGTCTATTTTGTAAAATTCAAGGCCAAGTCGTCGCTACAAAAACCAAACTTGACTTTAAGAATATTCGAATATGAAACCAAATTAAATATAATTTATTTCGGCCAAGAACTTGCGAAGAAAGGTGTTCTTCTACAAAAAACACTTATTTATCATTTCCTCCAAGCAAGTAGCAATTAGGATGTTTTTTTTATATATATACATATATATTCACAAACACCGTTTTTTAATTATTATTTTATATTGACACATAATTTATTTTTTACATTTCATCCCATTTCAGTTCACGATTTTTTTCTGGTCTTTTTCCTGTTTCATTCTCGCAACATGTTCTCACTGATTATTACTTCTGAAATTTCTGAAAAAGAAACAACATTTCCGCTCTTGATCTTGATATTTAGAGATATTGGTAAAATGAATAACTACTTGGCTCAATCAGTTGTTCAATCATTTCTTAAGAGGAATCAGTTCGGACCTAATTTCTTTGCACAATACAATTCACATATTTGAATCACCAAGCAGATGAGGCACATATTAATCTAAGAAAATTTAAAAGTTTAAGCAAATTTTAAGAAATTTTTTTTTGTTATGGTAATCTTAATTATCTTTCTGTGGAGCATTGACAGATATGTGGGCGAGATAACTACAACATGACTTTTACAGTTGTTCAATATGGACACAGGGTTAAAAGTATCACCATATCAGGTTTATTCTATTTGCATAATTCAATTTTAAGAGCCACTAGGTGTTATAAAAGAACTTACTAAAAGGGCCCGTGTCCATTAGCGTACATGACTTAACTGGGGGAAGACAACAGAATGTATCTAAAACTTGGTTTTCTTCTTGTTTTGTTCTCTATCGTTTTGGCAGAGAACTACTTCGAAAGGGATGAGGAGGAATTAAGAGGTCAGTTTTTTTTAGTGCAATGATCACATTGTTTTTTTACGATATAACTTGACCCTTTTTTTATCTGACTTCGACCTGTTACTTGTCGTCATCGAGTACAACGCACATCACAATCTCTGATAAATGTTTCGAGTGGTTGCGTTATCATTTCACTTTACGCCACTGAGTATTTTTTCAATTGTCACTGCTTTTTTACCATTTGGCTGCATTGGCAAAAGGGGCTTATCCCAATGGAAAGCCATGAAATTGAATTATTTTTGCATAAAGGAATTCGAAGATAGCAACTTTTACAAAAATAACAATATCAATAACAATAGTGATAAACACCTTTAAAGTTACCAATATCGTATGTTTCGGCACATAAGCCATTATTGGGATGATCTGGTCTCGGCAATTTGACCAAGATAAGGAGGAAGATGCAACAAAAAGAAAAGAAAAAAAAAAAGAAAAAGGCTGTTAATGTTCTGGCTCGGTTGGAAAATGCTGCTCGGTCCATTACATCACTCTGTCACAGAGTAACTTCCAGGGTGATATTTTCCATCCCTTGACGTGAAATTTCCTAAAAGTAAACGATCTTCCAGAGTATACAAGCTGAACGATAGAAAATGGAAACATTCATATTCAATGGTATCTGATCAGTGATTGAGTCAGTGTCGCCAACAAAACATAAAGGGGTACTAGAGAAAATTGACTGCCAATTAACTTCCATTCTTGGGAATCATGAGAACACTCCAAAGTCTCATGATGGGATCAGCTACTTCTCATCATGGCACAGTCAAAATCCTCCGATAAATAATAACCCTTACAATAATAATAAATTAATAATAACCCTTTCAACATGGAATTGGATCTGCATCATTCCTGACAATGTTTTGTAACATTACACGGTTTGCTGCTGTATTGTTACTACGCATTGTGATTATGTTGTTAAATATTGCGTTGCTTGAGATGGTAAATCCGATATTGTAGTGAGAATTTTAGCAAAGTTCCGATGGGACATGCAACAAATGAACGAACACCTGGACTTCAAGAAAAAAATAGTGACCTGTTTGATTTGCTGTTGTTGTTGTTTTCCAGTTTTCTTGTTTCTTGTTTTTTTTCCTAGTTTTTGGTTTTTGTTTCGTTTCTTTGTTTTCCTTTATTTGCATTTGCTATGTTGTTGTATCTGTTCTTTTGTTTATAATCATTTTTTTTTCCTTTGGAAGATCCTGTAGAGGAACTCAGAGAGGGATTCGTGAAAACTAGTAAGAATCAACAAGATTCTCTCACTGAGAAAATTCTTATAATTTTATCATTTTAAGATTTCTATGGCCAGTCATAAATGACAAGTAGCTAAACAATTAAGGCCCCTCCCACTAGAATTTTGCCTATGAGAGAGATATCTCTCAAAATATTTACTGTGTATAGTAATATCCCTTTCATTGCATCAGAAATAGAGGTGAAGAACTGAGTTTTGCAATAGGTTTCACGTTGTCACTAAATTTTATTTTCAACGCCAAAAAACACTGGTTTAGCAGCTTCTATGAAGAAATAAGAATTCAGCCGTATTTAACAAAACGGCTTTAAAACATGCACTCGTGGATATAGCTGGAGGGGAGTTTCAATAGTGTTGCAATCCGATCTAGTCTCAGGAAAACACAGCTACCCCATCACCGTAAAAAAAATTAAGGCCCCATCCCTCTCCTAAGGCAATGAAACTTGTTGTATTAACATTTATGAAATTACTTTTTCTTTCAGAATTGGCAGACCCATGGCGATATAGATATAGATACCGCCGAGCTCGTAAGTAAAGCGCAGAGGAGGACTGATATGCGTGAATTATGCAGAGCTTTGAAACAATGTATAGAAAAATAGTCATTCTAGGCAATAACGTCAAGACCAGCTTATGTTTTCATAATTCATATCATTAATTTCTTTTTTTTTCTTATTGAATTGAAACTTCACAGAAACATACTATTGAATGGTGGAGAATGAACAGTATTCAATATAATAGTAATAATATCGTTTTGATAAAAGAAAAAATCTATAAGATCCTTTTAAAAATACGGATAAATAGTATTAACTTCTTATTAAATAAGCAGGAGTGCCTTACTAGGTATATTGGCTTGAGGTTGTGGCAGTGTTCCCTTCTGTTTTCTTTTGTTTTATAGTCTGTTCTGTTCCGATTTGTTTTGCTTTGTTTCCTTTAATTTGCTCTGCTTCATTTTGTTTTTTTTTTAAATTTATCCAGGACGTCTCGGGTGTTTCAAGGGTAAGCGAAAAGTATGTACCAAACACTACGGAGACGACGGTAAACTCCGGTATTTCTGCAAGTGCGTGAGTCAAGGTGAACACCCTCTTAGATTATTTATGTTAGAATAATTGGAAGGATGGACTGTTTTTCTATGAGTACTTTTGAATGTCTGACTATTTACCCCATAAATGCATGGACCCGCCTTGCCGGTGGCTAGGGGTGGATATTTATCGAGACCAATAACAAAGACAAAAGAGAGTATCCCCCACACCACCCCCCGCGACCAATCACGATAGTAGGACTAATAGATTCATAAAAACTTACGTAAATGTTTTATCTTTTTCTTACTCATTTATGTGATTATGGTTTCATCATTTTTTAACTTATTCGTTTGCTTTTTCAGGAAGAGACGCGCCAGCTGAAAGCCCTTCGTTTGAAGACAACAGTTCTGAGAATTGGCTAGATAACTAAGGTAACATTTCTACTTTATTTCTGTCTGCCTTTTGAAATTTAAATTGACTAATCGACTAATGGATCAATCAGTCAATCAATCGATGAAATCAATCTGTCAATGAGGCTTTAAATGGTTTTCCGCAAGGCTAATTGATCCAAGTAGAGAAAGAGCTCTATCTTAGTATATCTGTGTCCAATTAGGTACACAGCAGGCTCGATGGTGAACGTTCTCCATGCATACGCCTGTGTGCACTTATTCCCAGTAAAGTCAATTGTCTCTTTCAATGACCGAGCATGGTGAACCTGCAGTAATTTGGGGCTCCAAATATGAGTTCAAAAGCAGTCATCGTCTAATAAACTCCCTTTATCCAACAGGGTTTAAGAACAAACATGATAAAAAGAACTGGGAAGTGATTTGGCGAGACATAATCGATCTATGAACCAAAGTCAACTTAATCTATGTTCTCAGAGTTCATATCTTTTGTTTGTTTCTATGGACACAGGCAGTTAACAGAACAAGTCCAAGAGAAGCCAATTGCGAAATAGTTAAAGATCATCTCATGAATGAAACAATAAACGAACGAGTTGATCAACTGGATTGTTGTGAATAACTGATTCTTTAGAATAAAAGAAATTGACCAGTGACCGAGAAGTGTACAGAAATGTACGTTATTTTACTTTTACGAAATTCTGGCCTGTTTTCCTTTGTGCAACTTTTTTTTTCTGGTTTGTTAATTTCAAATCGAGTTCCATCATAATAAAGTGGACACCCTCCAAGAGCCACACTTTTCCTCGTTGCTTTCCATCCCAACTTATTTTCACGTCAAACTGACACATTTCGCTATAAGAATGCTCTTCAAATGTAATTTCTACGTACATACATAAATTAAGTGCTCGCATTTTCCTTTTCTTTCAATATCATTTCCTATCACAATAAATGGAGTTTAATGCTACCCGTAATAAAAGATGCCAAGCCCTCAGCCCGAAAAAAAAACCAAAATCAAATAAAAATTAAACCTACTTAACAAAATGGAGTAGGGTAAAATATGGACTGGACTGGACTGGACCATTTTTGAACCATTTTTTGAACCATTTTTGGGACCATTTTGAGGACCATTTTTTGGACCATTTTTTGGACCATTTTTTGGACCATTTTATAGGGAGGGAGGCACATCCTTAGTACTCAGGGAGGGGTGAGTGCAGTCTACAAGTACTGAGGGAGGGGTGGGGGAAGAGTTTTATTACTCAGGCAGGGTTGGTAGGTGGTTGTAATTGTAAACACTACTGGTTAATGGAGCTTTTAATCGATCATTATAATTATTTTAATCGGTTTTTCGACTGAGTTCTCTTAACTCAACATTTTTGCGCTGGGGGCTTTATTCTTATTGAAAACATCGCGTTTACGATCCTCCGCTGTCGAGTTACCAGTCTGGCAGAGGTTATGTGTGTGCCTTTTGAGTCGACTTGTGCACCATCAGTTTGCCATTGTGTATACAGTGTGTAATTACCAGATTTATCTCTCTTTCCATTTTGTCATTGATGTTATCGGACGAGGTTTCGGAATTTCTGTTCCTTGACCCTTGAATTTAGCCGAAAATATAGGATTCACAAGCGCTATCGCAATTTTAACGTTTGTACGTTTACTATGTGAAATCATTTTTGGTACAATCGTACGAAGCAATATTCTCTCAGGTGACTCGTTAACACAGACCTCGAAAACGCAGACCGCACACCTCGAAAACGCCCTTCTCGAAAAACTTATGTATATATACAGTGTGTAATTACCAGACTTATCTCTCTTCCTTTTGTCATTGATGTTATCAGACGAGATCTCGGAAATTCCGTTAGGCGAAAGCGAAACTGCCACGTAAACACTGCACTTTAATGTGTATTTAAAATACTGCGGTTACGCTCCTTTACTGTTGCGTTATCCTTGTGCCTTTTGAGTCGACTTGTGTGTGCACTATCGGTTGATTCACGTTATCCGGTCTGCGATCTGCGGTCTACGGTTTTACCTTTGTGACTCACACTTCAGTCTTCATATTAAAAATTCACTCAATATTAAATTTATTAACGTTAACGACTTTTAGACCCCAAATTCACACTCAGTACGATTGGGCAGCCTGTGGAAAAAATTAAAGGCTGATAGTTTCTAAAGAAACAGCCTGGGGCTGCGTCGGTGGGCTAACGAAATAATTTGAATGTATCAACAAAGTTGAAATGGTAAATTGGACACCGTTACGGTTATAAAAGCTGACGTTGGAAAAAAAGTGTTATGAGAGCGAATTCGGTATTGAGCGAGATTTTAATGCATTCTATCAATTATACTCAATAGTGATTCATGTTCAACGTAAACCATTCACCGCACTAAGATTTAGTTTTTGGTTGCTCTCATCTAGATCTCATGTTTAATTTACGGTCTGTATTGTTAAACTAAATGGGCTGAGGCGAATTTGATTGATGTTATTAGTTTTTAGGAGGTGGATATTTATCGAGACCAATAACAAAGACAAAAGAGAGTATCCCCCACAACACCCCCCCGCGACCAATCACGACAGTAGGACTAATAGATTCATAAGCCGTGGAATGATGCGGACACAGTTGTTCTGAAACTTTTGCTGGTACATTACTTTCTCAAGATGTCTCGTTTCACTTTCATTCTACAGCTATACATTTTCTTAATTCCTTCAGCGGATATGACTCAAATTGGTATGGACTTAAACATATCGGTTGTGGCTCCAATTGGTATGATATACTTTATACGTTTAACAAACTTTTTTGCTGAATCGTTCAATGAAATTAGTGGCTACACTCATCACGTAATATAAGCATTATTATTTTCAACCAAAAAGAGCTTTAATCATGGACTACTTTTGTCTGTATCCGTCGGGGAATAATTCCTCACGGAAATTTCAAGACTTGTTATTATCTATAGCAGCAGAGATAGTTAACAGAAGAGATTCTCATCTTTTTGATGCCACACGCACACTTTTCAAAAAAGAAACACATTTACTCGATTTAGGAAAAGTACTTCAAAATTTCACTGACCAGTGTTGAACATTTCCGCCACCTATAAAACGCGTTCGTTAGAATATATTTGATCTGATCTTAATGCCCAGAAAGAGGTACCTGAGTTGATCGGAATTGTGCGTGTTTGAAATGGCGATAAAAAGACTTAAAGCAAATTTTGATTTCATTGGTCGGTCTCGCAACAACTGATATTGAATTTTATTTTCATTGCCCTCCGCTACTTTTGGTTTCGTCTTCTTTTTTAATTGCTTTCTTAATATTAAGATTCAGAGTGAGATACAATGAAATATATGAAGTTCATATATTTTGTACTGCGGTATTAGATACATATGATGCACGATCCTCGCAGTAGATAGCACTATTTAAGCAATAGCGAAAATCAGGCCTGTACGGGATTCGAATCCCGTACAGGCCTGATTTTTTTCAAGTCTGATTTTCGCTATTGCTTAAATAGCGAAATCTACTGCGAGGATCGTGCATCATATGTAAGATTCAGAGTGTTCACTCATTGCCTCTTCAATCGTAAATCATATGAAAGCACTTATGAGTCATTCGGAGCGTGAGATAAAAATTATATGAACATGTGGCCAGTTTCTATATCTTTCCATCTGCACAGCTTGAAGCAACCACCATTAGTTAAGTTGTAACTTCCCACGCCCAACTGTGTGTTTCTTCTTTTGAGTTTTTTTTTTTACTTTTGCAATGTTTTTTTTTTTTTTTTTTGCTTGTCGGTTGGTTTCGTGTAGGGGACGTGTAAATAGGACATCGGAAAATAGAAATGGATAATTTATGTTTTGGGCAGGTCGCATTATTTAAAAAACAAAAAAAAAGGGGGAGGGGAATTTCCTTTTTAAAGAGAAACTGTTCAAGGCCTACTCAAGTTAAAGTATGAGAGTTAATGTTATTCTTTTTCAGTATTGGACCAGCTTCATTATAATATCCAGCATTTAGACAGTTCATCTCAAAACGAGCCGAAAACTTCCACAACACCTGGTGGTAATACCCATGACTATTTTGTATGTCTTTGTCATTTAATCGTAAATTCGGATCGTGAAGATTATTTTTACTTTGGGCTGCAAGTATAATGGCGTTTATTAGGTAATGCTAAACCTTATCACCTGAAAAAGACTGGCACTATGCAGTCGAAAAATCGCGTTTCACATTGGAAATGACCATATCGAGAGGGAAACAATAATAGTTTGTAAAACAGGTATTCACCATGATGAATGACCACTTCTTCCTTACCTTTCCCAGAGTTGCCAAGTACATCCCCAAACAAGGCGAAACCCTCCATGAAACCGAATAGTAATGCGTTTTTTAACCTTATATCTTCAAACATATATTCAGAATCTCGTGTATTCATTTCTCTCAAGTCAGAGGCTGGAGTGTAGGAAAGCCCACTGTCTTCTCTAATGACAGCTAGAAAGCTTATTTTCTAAAGCTAGACACTAGGAGAGAAAATCTCGTACCACAAATTTTTCTGTTTATTCTTTTTACAGAGTTTTCCAGCTCACCTACAACCCCGCAAACAGTCCCCAAGAGACCAAATGGTGATACATTTAAGACAATCGCGGCCCTTCCAACAGTAGCAAGTACTGCTTCATCGTCAGCCTTTGGCTTTGGTAAATTCATTTGCTTATAAACATCAAATTATGATAAATCCAGCTTTATGATGGGGCAGCAGTGTTTCCTTTTCGTGCTAAAATTGTTTCTTTTCCTTGTTGGAATTATTTACAACAGACAAGTTTACTTCTGCATACACTCTCACAGTTTTATGAGGTTCATAATCCCCTTGATCGGATAGCCTTGTGTGGGTCTCACAACAATAAAAAAGTTCACATCGAAATACACCGAGAACTTCACATATGTCGACCTTTATTTTTTTCCAAAACAAAATAGAACATTGGAAATCAAAAAAGAAATGGATAATTTAGTTTTTGGGAAGGTCCCATCATTAACAGAAAAACCGAATTTAAGGAGACACTTCATGGAAACTGTACTGGGCGTGCGTGAAAAATGTAATATTTATGTTTTTTGCAGATGATTGTCGTATTTTGAAATTCAACCCAGAATTGAAAGATTTTTCTCTGCAAGGTTTCGTTATCAAGAGCGTGGAGGTACAAAGAGAAAGTGAATGTAAAGTGAGGTGCTTTCAGGAAAACAACTGTTTGTCTTTCAACATTGGTCTCTGGGAGGAAAATGGAGCTTACCTGTGTGAACTGAGTGATTCTGATCATGCGACGCATTCTGGGGCGCTCAAGCCAAGAAATGGCTTCATCTATCACTCAACCGAGGTAAGTTTCTTTAAGAAGCAAGATTTAGAACAGTTCACAATGCGAAATGAATTTATTGAAACATTATTCAACATAGATTTTCTTTCCATCACTGTTATTTTTATTCTTCTGTAAGCTTGCAAAGGTCGGCGTGAGACTTCTGTAAAACGTTATGAGAAGCAAATACTTAGAACCACATTTGGTGTTTTAAATCCTAGAACGCCTGTGCGAAGAATCCCTGTCCTCTACATCACTCCTGTCAAAATGGCTTTACGGATAAAGGCTACCGGTGTGTAGGTATGTAAAGATGAAATAAACAATTTTTAAAAGTCGAGTTTCCAGATGGGATTTGAACCCACGACCCTCCGTGATCTAGTCGGATGCTCTAACCACTGAGCTACAGGAGACTCTATGGTGAGCAAGGGTCAATTAGTGGGTATTGACTGGAACCGCATCACGCGGCTACACAGCCAAACATCAGTTAGCGCATAGAAGCTCACTAACAGCATCACGCTGTCTCGTTAAAGCATCACATGCATTAAAGCATCACATGCAGCCAACCAGCCTCCAAAGTGCTCACTTTGGAGGCTGGTTGGCTGCATGTGCTGAGGATGGTTGGCTGCATGGTTGACACCATAGAGTCTCCTGTAGCTCAATGGTTAGTGCATCCGACTAGATCACGGAGGGTCGTGGGTTCAAATCCCATCTGGAAACTCGGTGTGAAGGTAATGGTAAAAAAAATTTCAAAGTTTTATTTTCCAAGTTGAGTCCTTTAAAAGGCAGAAAAAGGTTATAAAAAGCATACCAGAGCGCTTGAGATTGATTCCTATTTAAATATGCTTGGCGGCACAGCACCGTACCTTATACCCTCCATACATCAGATAGTGAAAGCAACAATTGAAATGTCTACGTTTTACAGTAAAAATAGGCAGACTAAGAATTTTTTTTCTAATTCGCGCGCTAAATATCGCCATTATTTTAGAACCTCATTTTTGTTTGCTCGTTTCTTTCGCAAGGCAAAAAACTATCTACTAGCATAAGAATCACAACGATAAAAGTAAAATAATTTTCGCCCACTGATTCATGTACAGTCATTTTTCTAATAAAAGTAACGGGCAAGATACTCTTTTTCAGCACTTGCCAATTCAACCCCAAACGAGCCGGAAACCTTCACAGCATCTAGCGGTAATATGATTAGTTTTGTATGTTTTTGTCATTTAATTGTAAATGCGGATCATCACAATTTTCTTTTCCTTTCGGCTGCGAGTATGATAACGTTCTTTAGATGATGCAAATACGCTGGACCTTATCGTCTGAAAAAAAACTTACAGTGTGCAGTCGAAAAGTCGCGTTTCACAATTGAAGTGACAACATTGAGAGAGAAACAATAATACTTCATAACAAGGGTATTCACCATGAGAAATAATTATAACCACTTCTTTCTTTCCTTTTCCAGAGTTTCCAAGTAAAACTCCAAGACAGGCAAACTCCTCCACAATACCAAGTGGTAATACATTTTTCAACCGTATTTCTTAAGGAATATATTCAAAATTTCGTATAATTATTTATTACTCATGGGGTAGAAACTGGAGCGCAGAGAAGTATACTGTTTTTGCAAGTAATAGCTAGAGACAAGCTTTCTTCCTAAAGCTAGACACTAAGAAGAAAATACCCTGACTCACACTTTTCTGTTTATTCTTTTGACAGAGTTTTCCAGCTCACCTGTAGCTCCGCCAACAATCTCCACGAGGCCAAGTGGTAATACTGCTAAGTCAATCTCGGCCCTACCCACAGTATCAAGTACTGCTTCAACGTCTGATCATGAATAGTAATGATATTAATAACAGTAACAACAATAACATCAACAATAATGATAACTGAGACGGGAAATTAAACCATAGGGATTATAACATCATCTGCCCACTAGTGATCACTTTGAACTGTATGAGTTTATGAAGGAGTAAACTTGTCTGTTGTAAGAACAACCAAACAGTCCAAAAGGCCATTCAGCAGGCCGGGGAGATCAGTTTGTAAATAATTCCAACAAAAGAAAAGAAGGAATTTCAGCCCAAAGCAGGGAACACTGTTGGCGAATTAAATTGTAAATTTATCATAATATGATGTTTATGAGCAAATTAGGTTACCAATGATAACGGCATTTGTGCCCACAACTAACAAGATTATGAATTGGTAAGATAATCAGGAAATTGCATATAAAAACTACGCAGCTACTTTTGAAATATAATGAACTTGCTCACTAGCTTTACGCATGCGCTTTAGAAGTCGCATTAAACTTTCTTCCTGTAAATTACATACAGATATCTATGCATCATACTAACATCATTGATATTGGTAATAATTATTACATCAGCTGGCATGAGAAGTTTTATATGCACTTTGTGTTGAAGTGTTTAGAAAGAAAAAGGTTATTGCCACTAAACCACGATGGATCTCTGAAAACATCAAAAGAACCCTCTTCTGTTTCTACTACAAAGTAAGAGAGAGCTTTTCAGCTGTAATAATGCCCCATTTTTACTTGTTAAAAACTCGCTCTTGCTGTAGCATTTCTGAAAATTGTTCATTATCCCTTGTGAAACGGGTCAGGAGGGAATGGGCTGTCGGATTATGCAACCTTGGTTCATAATACTTCAAGCACTCGGTATTTTTACGCTAAGGGTTAATACGTGTAAATATTGCTTTGTTTATGCAAATTAATAGAGCCGGCACGATGTGTAAGTTGGACAGAATCTGCTAACTTATAACCATCATCTGACATTTATTTTAAAGATGAGATTGATTGATTGTAAAATATCTTAAAACCTTAGAACGATCATCTGACACTTATTCAAATGATACGATTGTTTGATTGTAAAATATCTTAAAAGCATAGAACCATTATCCTTGGGCATAGGGTAAAATATGGCCTAATGGACCGGACTGGGCTATTTTTTTGGATCACTTTTTGGACCATTTTTTGGATCACTGATTTTTTGGAACATTTTTTGGACTATTTTTTGGACCAGTTTTTGGACCATTTTTTGGACCATTTTTTTGGACCATTTCTTGGACCATTTTTGGACCATTTTTTGGAACATTATTTGGACCATTTTTTGGACCATTTTTTGCACCAATTTAAAAGGGGGGAGCCCACCGTTAGTACTCAGGGAGGAATGGGTGCAGTCTACAAGTACTGAGAGAGGGGTGTGGGGCAGAGTGTTATTACTCAGGGAGGGGTGGTAGGTGGTTGTAATTGTAAACACTACTGGTTAATGGAGCATTTACTCGAGCGTAATAATTATTTTAATCGGTTTTTCGATTGACTTCTCGTACATCAAACATTTTGCACTGGGCCGCGGCGTTTCTTAAATTTTTCAGTCATGCGAAAGCGAAACTGCCACGTAAACACTCGATTTTAATTCTTATTGAAAATATCGCGTTTACGATCCTCCACTGTTGAGTTACCTGTCTGGCATAGGTTATGCGCAAGCCTTTTTAGTCGACTTCTGAACCATCAGTTTCCTTTGTGAAAAAGTGTGAATCTACCAAATTTATCTATCTTCCTTTTGTCACTGATGTTATCAGACGAGGTCATGGAATTTCCGGTCCTTAGCCCTTGACTAGAATTCACAAGTGCTATCGCAGATTTAACGTTTGTACGTTTACTATATGAAATAACTTTTGGTACAATCGTACAAAGCAATCTTCTTTCGGGTGTCTCGAAAACACAGACCTCGAAAACGCAGACCGCAAACCGCAGATCTCGAAAACGTAGACCTTGAAAAACGTGTATACAGTGTGTAATTACCAGATTTATCTCTCTTCCTTTTGTCATTGATGTTATCAGACGAGATAATGGAATTTCCATCATGCGAAAGCAAAACTGACACGTAAACACTGGACTTTAATTTCTATTGAAAACACTGCGTTAACGATCCTCCACTGTTGAGTTATCCGAGTGCCTTTTGAGTGGACCTGTGTGTGCACTATCAGTTGCTTCACGTTTTCCTCTGTGTATACCGTATGTTATTACTGAATTTATCTATCTTCCTTTATCTATCTTCCGTAGCATTTCTTTAGTTGTTTGTCATGCGAACGAGAAAGAGGCCTACTCTGGGACCTTAAGTTGCCTTATTTAAGTCGCCTTAAGTCGCCTTAAGTTGCCTTAAGTTTCCTTAAGTCACTATTGGTTACACAATGTTATAAGGGTTCCACCCTAATTCCAATTGACCCCATTCACCCCATTTTAATCATAAGGATCAGAGGAGGAGGCATGGTGGCTGAATGGTTAGTTCACTAGACTCGACATTGGTCCAGTTTTGGTGTCTAGTGTTGGAGCATTGCATTTTGTTCTCGGGCAAGAAACTGTAAGTTCAAAGTGCCTCACCCTTTCTGGGTGAAAATATCGGTACTGGTTGGCAGGGGGGGGAGTTAACCCTGCGATGGACTGAGTTTAATTATTGTTATTGTGAGGTGGGCAGTGGCTTCCATATATATAGAAACTCCATGTAAAAATAGTCATGTACCTGTCCAGCTCCTATGCTGGCATGGGTAATTCCTACATGTAAACAATACTGATGTAGGAATATGACACTGTATACTCTTCCATTTTCTTACTAAAACAGCTATCTGTTTCAACAAATTGTCTGTCTTGCATTTCATGATGAAAATGTTGATAAAGGGGTTGACACAGTGTATTTGTTGTGGTTCAATTTTATCCTTGGTTTAAATTTTATTTTCCATTGTTTCAACCCTATTATCATACATTACCATAACCAAAAACAATGGAAAATAAAATTTAAACCAAGGGTAAAACTGAACCACAACATATTATCATCAGGATATAATAAAAGTTGAATCATATAAAACCTACAGTACCAGATCATCAAGATAAAACGATAGAAAGGTATTCTGGAGAAAGGCTCAGTTCTTGCCACTCACATACCTTGAGCAGTGTAAATAACATTATCAAAGGTCAACTAAACTTAAATGAAGCTAAATTTAATGCACGTAACTTACTCAGAGTAAAAGAATGACAAAAGTGGGCCATTTCTCCAGCATAAACCCATTAATTTGTACTAGCTATTTCCCAAATGTGATTTGACCAACTGAAAACATTTGAGCTTTGTAGCTCGATGAACCTACTAAAGGTGTAAATATTTATCTATCTTGAAACTTTGATAGTCTTTTTGTTCATTTTCGTCAGTTTGATGATAAACATACATCAACCACTTCTAAGCCAAGAAAAGCTTTTTAAGGCAAACGTGGCCACCAGAAATATTTGATCACGTGACTCGTTTTTTTCCCGTGACCAAAGTGTATTTGAGAACAACACGCGCGCGAGCTTGCCGAAAGTGTACAGAAAAATAGTTAATTTATCTGAGCAAAAAAAAAAAAGATCATCAAAAAGCTTTAAAAAAATTCACTCTGAAAGTTTAACTGGGCGAACGCCTCAATGAAATGGACGTACCGGTACTTGGCGAGAGAAATCCTATAGTGTTGTCCCGCTCCTAACTTAGAAACAGGGAAATTAGTTAGAGGCGCCAAGATTGCTTGGAGAATTATAATTGCGGAGACTTTAGAGCCAGCTTTCAGCTTGGAGAATTTCGTCGCGACTCGTTAGTTTCTAGACAGTTGTGAGGTAACAATGAATGCTTTTAAACCTATAATACTGCCACCAGGCTAAAATAAAACTTGAGTGCTTGGAGGGTCCTGCTGATCCGATCAGCAGTGGAGAAAAAGTTTAGCATATGGTTCTCAGTATGGTATTGGAGTGTTTTGTCTAACTAAGGCAGGAGAACAAAAAATTGGTTGGGTCCCTGAAAAGGACCGACTAATTTTCGATGCTGTTGGAAAGGCATGCGAGTTTCCAAACTTTCATGCCAAAATTGACAGTGCAAGTGGCAAAAATATGGGAGATAAGTTTACCAAGATAACAATTTATTATAATTTGTGAGGCTATGTGAAATAATTCAATAATCAAGCTATTTTTAATGAATTATGTGGAAAATTTATTGATAGTTTAATGTAAATTATGTCTCTTTTCTTAATTAAAAATGTGTCTTTACGTGCATATTTTTGATAGGTTTGTTTTATGTTGGGTAGATAACCCATAATGTTTTCCTGGCTATTTATTCACTAGCTTTGACTGTATAATTTAACAATAACTGTTGTGGTAATTCTGTCTAATTATTTTTAGCTAAATTGGTTTGAAATCTGAATATTTTAGGCTATGGTGACCTATGAGCACACAAAAGTAACCAAATTGACTATGGTGTTTATTGCAAGGGATTCTGTAGATATTTTTAGGGTTTATGGAGAGACTGTTCCTAACTTTGATTTCATCACTTCAATCAAATAAAATCACTTTAAGTTGCCTTAAGTCGCCTTAAGTTGCCTTAAATCGCCTAAAGTCGCAATGTTTTTTTTAGCCAATTTCGCTTAAGTCGCCTAAAGTTACGGCGACTCAAGAGGCTGTCCACCTAAGAACGGATAAGGCAAATTTCGGACCTTCGCCGATTTCCCTGATTTTTACTGTGAAAGTCGATACTTCTATCCCATGAACAAATATTGCGTTTATTTTGAATCAGTCCGGTTTTTTCATTTTTACGAGATATTTTTCAAAGTGACTCAAAGACACCCAGTTTCTCCCCCCGGAACTCCATAATTTAGCTACAAAAGTCGATCGCTGCTGAAGCCGTATTTTCAACTCTAAAATGCTTTCTATTTTATACGTCTAAGATCAACCCTCTACCACTACGTTAACGGTGAAATGATTACACTGTATATATTTTTCACTGAGTTATAAATTTTTCAAAATACTTACCTCGAGCACTGAAATTTGTGATGCGTGAGGTACATGTGGTTGAAAGCTATTTTCTCTTATGTGGGACCTGATCTAGCGTCAAATCTATTACAGCCTATAAGCACTTGTACCTAATAAGTAAATTATGGAATAAAACTTTTGGGCACTCTTCATGGCGCGCCGCACAGAGCTTTGCAAATTTCACAAATATTCGCCATTTTGATCGAAATCAAAGATAACGCGATCCGACCAACAGGTAAATTTGGGATCTGAGAACTTGTTACAAATCATAAAAAAAAAAATGAAGAGCGGATTTTTATATTGAAAAATACATATCATGCGACTTTTTCGTCGTTAAGTTGAAAACATTGGAGTTCTAAAGAGGAAAGACCTGTGTTTATAGTTAATAAATTATGCAAATTAGCATTATTTAAAATTGTGTCCATAAAACTTTTTTTTCTACCATGTTCTTAAACACAAAGAGCTGTCTCTTTTAACTGAAGATCATATTATTCCACACTTCTAAGGCAAGGTATTTTTTGAGTTTATGGCCATTTTCATCTCCCACGAAGCGCTGATTAAGTAAAACAGCAGTGTTTGTTTTGCACGCTTATCGCCAACTAATTCAGTTATCATCAACCACAGAGAAGTGGACATCGAAGATCTTACCAGTAATATTTCCTTAACCTCTCTTCAGTAGCAAGAGATGTTTTTTTTTAGCCG